CTAGGCTTCCCCAAGGTTCTAGGTACCTACCCCCCTTGAACCCCCCTCCCTTCAGAACCCTTTTATTGCAGCCGCCAGATGGACCTCGAGACCCTCTGAACACGAAGCACCGCCTCTTGAACACTACTGGGGTGGGGGGCTCAGGGATTTGAGGCTGAAGGTTCAGGGTTCAGGGGTTTAGGGTTAGGGTTTGGGGTGCAGGGTCCAGGGGCTACAAAAGGGATAAGGCTCCAACTTCCGGCTTTGGGCGAGGGCTTCAGTGGCAGCTCAGAGCGTTTGGTGCTAAGACCCTTCCCGATGCTGGCGCGGATAACTAACTCAACACGCCTCCAACAGTCCATAAACCTCAGATGACCCTGCAATACCTCTGAAATGCCCAAAACAACCCTAAACCCCTAACCCCCCCCCCCCCCCGCGACCCGAAGCCACAACAAAGGAGCCTCTTCCACTTTCAGGCTTTTCTGCTGGTGCACCTGCCCAAACAAATGGTCGGCTTTAGGGCTTTGGAGCTTAGGGGGTTGCAACAGGTTTTGGTCTTCGTTTTCGGGTTATGGCCGCATGGGCATGGGTGTGAATTAGGTGATTATCTAGAAGTGCATCGCGCGCGTTTCAGAGTTTTCCGCGCTTCATCTTGCCGATCGCGTTTCAAAAAGCTGGAAGAAGCCGCGTTACCTGTGGAACTCGAGGAAGGCACGGCGGGAAGCCTTTGTGAATGTACGATGCGCACGTTTCATGTGTTTGCACGTTTCATCGCGCCGAGCATGTTTCGACAACTTCGTAGCCCAGTAACCATATTATAATGAGGGCACCCTTTTGGGGTTGGTACAGGGTACCACTGGGCTACCCCCTAAACCCTAAACCCTAAACCCCAAACCCTAAACCCTAAACCCTACACAATAGCTTTATAAGGGTACAGGGCACCACTGGGCCACCAAGACTGGAAGAAACCACGTGAGCTAACTCTGGAACTCGGGCGATCCACGGCTAGAGATTGAAGGGTCCTGAGCTTGAAGCTTGGGTGGCGTCTCAGATGCACAAGAAAGGGTTTGGGGTGTAGGGTTTAGGGTTTAGGGCTTAGGGTTTAGGGTTTAGGGTTTAGGGTCACAAGGCCTTAACGGCCGAACGGAAAACCATCTAAGATGCTCGTCAAGAGAAAGCCTCTAACTACAGCCAAACCGAGTCACCCGTCATCGGGTTGTACCAGTACCAGCGGCCAGTATGGGAGCCTGAGATCTGTTTGGTCTTTGCATTGCACTTTCTTGCTCTGCTGTAGTTGAAGTTAGGGTTCAGGGTTCAGGGTTTATAGGGTTTAGGGTTCCGGGCTCGGCCCCAGCGAACAGTGGCAGCGGCCCCGCGTTCGGGACGAGAGCTTCCACCTGCCGAGCTTGCACTTGCTGTCACCGAGCGTGAGCGCCGGCGCGAGGCTTTCAATGCGGCGTCACGCCCATATGTCGTCAACTGTCCACACGTACTTCCCTGGCATCATGGTCTGCACGACTTGGCGCCACTCCGGCTGCGCAGGTGTCTGGTCGTACAGGCTTCGTCTGCTCTCCGCAGGCTAGATGCCGTGGCTCCAATCTGCCAGCATAGACTAGAGGAGCCCCAACCCTAGCCCCAAACCCCAAGCCCGAAACCCAAACCTCAAAAATATCCCCCCCCCCTCGAGGCGCCGTGTTGCGGCCCTGGAATGTGGCCAAACTGAAGCCTTTCAGCGTCTTCGCCTTAGGGTGCTGGCTTTAGGGGTTTAGGGAGGTTTAGGGGGTAGGGTTTTGGGTTTAAGGCTCTTTTGGCTTGTAGGGTAGGCCGCCAAGGGTCCAAGGGTCTACTATGTCCACGGCGGCCTCTCGCTCTGGTTAAGGTTGCAAGAAGACGTCCAGATTCTTTGTAGGGAAGGAGGGAATTAAATTATGTCCCCCGGTATGGGTATTTCCCAAGATAAGGTTACCCCAAACAGAATAGAATCCCCTCAAAGGGACCCCCAAAAAGGGTACCCCATTGTTGGAAAGCCCCATATAAGCCCTTGAAGTTATTCTGTTGGACACCTCATTCACTCATTCCCTAAATGACATTCAACGTGTGTGTGGGGGTCTGCCAACCGGAACTTGCAACCCCTTAGGGCTTTGGCTCTTTAGGGTTTTGGGGTAGGGTTTTTGGGTTTTTGGGTTTTTGGGTTTTTGGGTTTTTGGGTTTTTGGGTTTTTGGGTTTTTGGGTTTTTGGGTTTTTGGGTTTTTGGGTTTTTGGGTTCTTGGGTTTTTGGGTTTTTGGGTTTTAGAGTTTTAGAGTTTTAGGGTTTAGGGGTTATAAGCCCCTACATCATGAACCCCCCTTAACACCCCAACCTTCCCCCAGAAGCCCTAAAATCCGAGACCCTCAGCCCCGAAAAACCAAGCCCCAAAACGCCTAAACCTCTAAACCTTTCACCCTAAACCCCAAACCCTAGACCCTAAATCCCAAACCCAAAACACCCCCCAAACCCTAAACACTAAATCCCATCACCCAAAACACCCCAAACCCTACACCCTAAACCCTAAACTCCAAAACACCAAAAGCCAAAAGCCCAAAGCCCAAAGCCCAAAACCGAAAACCCAAACCCTAAACCCTACACTCTCCCTAACTGCGCTGGTTTCTTGGGAGCGAGGCGAGGATCACTGTAGGCCGGCCACCGGTTTCGGCATTCTTCTCGGCCTCCCAGTGTCTGGGCTTTGGGGTTTGGGGTTTAGGGTTTAGGGTTTAGGGTTTAGGGTTTAGGGGTTAAGGTTTAGGGTTTAGGGTTTAGAGTCTAGGGTTTAGGGTTTAGGCTTTGGGGCTTAGAGTTTGGGGTTTAGGCGGGCTGAGGTTTTCCCTAAACCCTAAACCTTAAACCTTAAATGTAGCGGGTTGAGGTTAACACTAAACCCTAAACCCTAAACCCTAAACCCTGAACCCTGAACCCTGCACCCTAAACCCCAAATCATTGGGAGCCCTAAGCCAAAAAACCCTAAACCCCAAACCCTGAGCCCTACACCGCCAAAAAGGGGTGGGCTCGAAAGAGGAAGTCGAGCCTTAAACCGGCTAGGGCCTAAGGAAGGGTTCAGGGTTGAGGGTTCAGTGTTCAGGGTTCAGGGTTTAGGAGTTTAGGGTTTCGGGTTTAGGAGTTTAGGAGTTTAGGGTTTAGGGCTTAGGATTTGGGGTTTAGGGTTAGGGTTTGGGGTTTAGGGCTCTGTGCTCAAGACCCGAAAAAATCTGGATTCAAGAAGGTTGTTCTTTTCTTTGGTAATCATCATCAGCACGCGCCCCGCGCCCCCCCCCCACCCCACCCCCGCCGAACCCTGAACCCTGAACCCTAAACCCCAAACCCCAAACCCTAAACCCTAAACCCTAAACCCCCCGGGCGCCCATGGCGCCTGGAGCATGGCCGAGTAAATCTTCTTGTGGTCGTGGCCTCACAACTCTGAGCCATCAACTTAGATGACCTTGATCTCTCTCTCCTAGGCTGCCCATTAACCAAGGCTTAAAAAGGCTGCCCTTTTTTTGCTTAAAGGGGTTTATAAGGGAACCTAAACCCCCTAAAAAAAGGGAATCAGCGTACTACTGGGCATCCTAGTCTCTCTCTCTCGCTTGCTATTTCTCTCTGTCTTGCTGTGATCTGCCTGTCTTTGCTTCTGAGCCTTTTTGGTGTCCCACTCTCTTCTTCTTCTCCCCAGAGCAACCTCTGTCCATGCTACGAAAGGTCTTGGGGGTGCATTTGCTATGGGGCTCCGGGCTTGAGACCAGTGGGGGGTTATAGGCGCGGTTAGGGTTTAGGGTTTAGGGTTTAGGGTTTAGGGTTTAGGGTTTAGGGTTTAGGGTTTAGGGTTTAGGGTTTAGGGTTTAGGGTTTAGGGTTTAGGGTTTAGGGTTTAGGGTTTAGGGTTTAGGCTTTAGGGTTTAGGGTTTAGGGCTAAGGGTTTAGGGTCTGGGGCTTAGGGTTATTGGGGCTAGGGAACCCAAGCAGAGAAGCACCGAAGCCCCAACAAGCCCCGAAGGGACAAAGCAAGCACAAGGAGTCCGGCCGCCAGGGAGCATGAAGGCAGACCTTGAGACGCGGTTGAGGGTTTAGGGTTTAGGTTTGAGGGTTGAGGGTTTTTGAGGGTTTAGGGTTTAGGGACTAGGGTTTAGGGTTTAGGGTTTAGGGCCTAGGGTTTAGGGATGTTCCCAAGGACCGTTGGTTCTAAGCGGGAAAATCGCCAGGGTCTGTGGCCCTTTTTCCTCAAAACTATGAGGAACGGCCTAAAAAATGCATTGCTTCTGAGGTCCAAAGACAGATCTTACGCCTTGGCTTCAGAATCGGGGCCCCCTAGAGGCTCCGTCTCCTGAACTTAGGTGGCTTTATGTTGAAGGGGGAGTGGGGTGGAAGCGATACAACCCCTAAACCCTAAACCCTAAACCCTAAACCCTAAACCCTAAACCCTAAACCCTGCAGGACTCAGGGATGAGGGAGTTTATGGAGTCCTAGGGGGTTGACACAAACTGCAAGCCTTCAAACCTCCAAAACGTGCCCACCTTGAGTGCTTACTAGGAAGCCTTTTGACTTGGAAATTTCCCCAAACCCTAAACCCTAAACCCTAAACCCTAAACCCTAAACCCTAAACCCGTAGAGGGTTTCGGAGAGAGAGACGAAATTGACTTGCAAACCACAAAGGGCTTCCAAGTATGGTTCAAGTTCCAGGTTCAAGGTGTGAGGGGTGAGGACTTTGGGAGTGTACCTTTGGGGGGTGTGAAGAAGTAGAATAGGGTTTTGGGGGGTTATTAAAGTAGAATTACAAAGGGGAGTATTATTGATAAATATTCTGGGGCTTCGGGTTTACGTCAGCTTCGGAGTTGTTGGGGGTTTCAGAAGTTTTGGGAGTTTGGGCCTGAGCCCTAAACCCTAAACCCCAAACCCTAAGCCCTAATCCCTAACCCCTAACCCCTAACCCCTAAACCCGAAACCCGAAACCCTAAACCCTAAACCCTAAACCCTAAACCATCCACGCCTTGATTCATGGGGCAGTCTTGGGGCCGGGCAGGAGCTCGTCGTCCGACAGGTGCGCGACACGGTCCGCCAGTCCATTGGCCTCGAGGCAAGAGAAGGCAATGGAGAAGGATCATTTCATTTCACGGCCCCTCTTTAGAGTCCCTAAACCCTAAACCCTAAGACCTAAACCCAGTTTAGGGTTTAAGGGGGCTTAGAGTTGGTCTTGCAAATTTTCGGGACGCCGAAGTTGTGCTTGAGCGCCCTTGAAAAGGATTTGGAAGCAGGTTCCACCCTAAACCCTAAACCCATACCCTAAACACTAAACCCTAAACCCTAAACCCTAAACCCCAGACCCCCTTAAGAAAGAAGACAGTAATTCTCATAACTTCCATGCAAGCCAGGAGCCAAAACGCACACCTTCTACTGGCTGGTTCTTCGTACAGTAGGGAATGAGGGAATGAGGTACCCTATATCCCCCTCCATACATAGATGTATATATATATATATATACATATATATGTGTATATACCCTTTAAGGGACTCCATAGGGTAGTTGCCTCATTCCCCCGTTCCCTACTAAGAACCAGGCGCTTCCTAGCAAAGTGCCTTCTGCTCTGTGGCGCCTCTGGGTGCGGCAACAGCAGAATACTGAACGGTCATCAGTGCTTGCGCCAGTGGGTACCTGCGGTCGCCTGAGGTCCCGTATGTTCACATGTGTGCGCGCACGTTTGCCTGGCCTGCGTGGTTCTTGTCCGTTCGGCTTTGCGTGATCGGCCAGGGCCCTTATATCCGGCGTCCCCTCCCTCCAAACGGCCACTAGACACGCAGACCTGTAGACACCCCCAAAGACCGAAACATCCCTAAACCCTAAACCCTAAACCCTAAACCCGACAACCTAAACCCTAAACCCTAACCGTAAACCCGAAACCATATGAAACCACAGCAGTCAGCACCAGGGGCCTCGAAGATTTCGCGCCGGATGAGGCCCCCATCCTTCCCAGTTGCGGGGTTGGGGCGTTGAAGGGTTTAGGCGGTTCAGGGCTTAAGGGCTTAAGGGCTTAAGGGCTTAAGGGCTTAGGGCTTAGGGCTTAGGGCTTAGGGTTTAGGGTTTAGGGTTTAGGGTTTAGGGTTTAGGGTTTAGGGTTTAGGGTTTAGGGTTTAGGGTTTAGGGTTTAGGGTTTAGGGTTTAGGGTGGGTTTCGCGTCTCTTGCTGGGCTTGGGGCTTGGTAAATTCTCCAGATGATGATCCCTGGCAGGTATTCTCCCGCGAAGACCTTGTTCAACCCTTTATTCTGTGGGTTCTTTTGTGGAACCCGCCTGATCCTGTGGTGAAGGCCTTAACCCTTCATCCCCAGCATAGGCGTTGCGGGTTTGGGGGCTAAGCTTGTGGACCTTACTTTGGAGCCTCGTGTGCCTAACTTAGGGTTTGGGGTTTAGGGCCCTGGGACGTCGATTTGGGGGTTTCCGAAAACAAGGGACCCGGAAGTCCCCCACATAGTAGGACCCCCCTTGCAAGAAGGACCCCAAGCCGGTACCCCCCAGTATCGTAAACCCCATTTCGAGCAAGGACTGAAACGCGAAGATGAGTACGGCCAGCGAACTGCAGTGCAGAGAACGACGAATTTGCGACTAATCCTTCTCTGACGCCCTGACACCCCGAACCCTTAACCCTAAACCCGAAACGCCCTAACCCTACTTTAAACCCCAAACACCCTAAACCCTTAACTCCGAACGCAAGCCCCGACCTGCTTCGCAGCATAACGCTGGCAGTCGCCATCAGGGGTGCGCTCGAGGACCTTTGGGCTTGGGGTTTAGGGCTTTCGGGGCTCTATAGGGATAATTAGGGCTAGCTAGGGTTTTAGGGTGCATTAGGGTTTTGGGGTTTTTATAGGATTCATTAGGGTTTTGGGGTTCGCTAGGGTTTTGGGAGCTTTGCGATTTAGGGTTAGTTAGGGTTACTTCGGGTTAATTAGGGTTCATTACTTTGAATTAGGGCTAACTAGGGGTAACTAGGTTTAATTAGGGTTTAGGATTTGGAGTTTGGGGTGTAGCATTTAGGGTCAACGAGGGTTGCTGATAAGGTCTTAGGGTCTGGGGTTTAGGGCTAGTAAGGTCTCAGGATGTAGGGTTTTTTGGATAATTTGGGTTTCGCTTTGGGGTTACATGCTAGGGTTTAGGGTTTCCGGTAGAAGGTTTCAGGTTTCAAGCTTAGGGTTTAGGGTTTGGGTCTTGCACCCACGAGATCAGCCCCATAGTCTTGCCTCAATGAGCTTGCCATCGTGATCGCCATCCACGAGGTCGTTCCATGCATCGCCCCAGATGAGCTTGATGCAGTCAAACCTGGCGGGTTAGGGTTTAGGGTTGAGGGTTTAAGGGTTTAAGGGTTTAAGGGTTTAAGGGTTTAAGGGTTTAAGGGTTTAAGGGTTTAAGGGTTTAAGGGTTTAAGGGTTTAAGGGTTTAAGGGTTTAAGGGTTTAAGGGTTTAAGGGTTTACGGGTTTAAGGGTTTAAGGGTTTAAGGGTTTAAGGGTTTAAGGGTTTAAGGGTTTAAGGGTTTAAGGGTTTAAGGGTTTAAGGGTTTAAGGGTTTAAGGGTTTAAGGGTTTTGGCGCAGGCGGTGTTTAGGTTCTAGGGTGCCACCCTCCACATCCCCAGAAGCTAAACCCTTCAAACCCAAAACCATTTCAACCAAACACCCTAAACCCTAAACCCTAAACCATAAACCCTAAACCTAGCCACCAGCACCCCTAAACAAACGTCGGCCAGCGCGCCCAGCTCCTCTGAAGATGCCCTCGAACTCCTGGATGACCTTTTGGTTCCGGGTTTCACGGCCCCCCCACCAAAAGCCTTGCGTAGGGCTTGGGGGGTTTAGGGTTCACTGTAGCCTTGGTTGGGTGATTTGGGGTAGGGTGCATACTCAGGCTGGCCACCTAAACTCCTGAAGCCAAGAAAGCCCTAAGCCGCCGACATGATCCTCAGAACACTGGGTTTAGGGTTTAGGGTTTAGGGTATAGGGTTTAGGCTTTGGGGTTTAGGGTTTAGGGCTTAGGATAAAAGAAGCAGAAACTTCAGCTCCCTAACTGAAAACAAACGAACACCCCAACAACCCAAGCCCGAACCCCCGCCCCACCCCCCAAACCACAGCACCCTAAACCCTCAAAACCCTAGAAAACAACACAACATAAAGAAAAATCATAACAAGACTCCTAAGGCCTGAGACCCCACCTTGAAATCTCAACCCTAAAATCCTAAACCCCAAACCCTAAACCCTAAAACCCCTAAACCCTAAACCCCAAACCCTAAACCCTGGCCTTGGAGTTGCCACGGACAGGGCCATCGAGGCGCTGGTAGTTGCAATTCACGATCATCACGAGGTTGTTGAGCCTGAACTCGGTTTAGGGTTTAGGGTTTGGGGTTTAGGGTTTGGGGCTTAGGGTTTGGGGTTTAGGGTTCGGGGTTTAGGGTTTTAGGGTTTTAGGGTTTAGGGTTTAGGCGGACTCCTTGGAGTCTGTGGAGTTGCCAAGCTTGTTGCTGAGTTGCTGCTGCATTTGCTGAGATCATTGCCGCTGCCCTAAGCATGAGCACGCTACCTGTCGAAACGGCTTCTAACCTGTTAGCTCCCTGAGAACCCACAAGCAGGCCCTCAGGGCATCTTCTTGGGATCTAGGGTCGGATTCGGGCCCTGGGGTTTAGGGGGTTTAGGGGTTTAGGGGGTTTAGGGGTTTAGGGGTTTAGCGGTTTAGGGGTTTAGGGGTTTAGGGGTTTAGGGGTTTAGGGGTTTAGGGGTTTAGGGGTTTAGGGGTTTAGGGGGTTAGGGGTTTAGGGGTTTAGGGGTTTAGGGGTTCAGGGGTTTAGGGGTTTAGGGGTTTAGGGGTTTAGGGGTTTAGGGGTTTAGGGGGGGTTAGGGGTTAGGGGTTTAGGGCTTAGGGGCTTAGGGGCTTAGGGCTTAGGGTTTCGGGTTTCGGGTTCAGGGTTCAGGGTTCAGGGTTCAGGGTTCAGGGTTCAGGGTTCAGGGTTCAGGGTTTAGGGTTTAGGGTTTAGGGTTGAGGGTTTAGGGTTTAGGGTTTAGGGTTTGGGGTTTGGGATTTAGGGTTAGCACCTAGGGTTGAGGGCCTAGGGTTTAGGGTGGTTTAGGGCTTAGGGACTAGGTTTTCTTCAGCCCGCTTCAGCCCCAACAGAAATGTCTGCCACGCACGTGCCTCTCGTAGCCGGCGCGCGCAATGGCCTGGGGAGTCGGACACCTAATCCTCAAACCCTATGTTTTAGGGTTTAGGGTTTAGGGTTTAGGGTTTAGGGTTTAGGGTTTAGGGTTTAGGGTTTAGGGCCGCCGTGTCAGCAGCCATGGTAACCCCCACCCCCCCAATCCCAACCCTCCCCTCCCCACCTAAACTCAAAACCCTCACGCAGGCCTAAACCCTACACCCTAAAACCCTAAACCCTAAGCCCTAAACCCAGAACCCTTAATCCTGAAACCCCAAACAAACCCTTGAATGAATAGACCCAGTTGACGAAGAAAGGCGCGCCCTGTCTTCTCCCCACTGGTAGGTTCGCGGCGAACCTTTAGGCAGCCCCGCCCACCGATCCACTTTGAGGTTTTAGGGTTTAAGGGTGTAGGGTTTGGAGTTTAGGGTTTAGGGCTAGGGTTTAGGGTTTAGGGTTTAGGGTTTAGGGTTTAGGGTTTAGGGTTTAGGGTTTAGGGTTTAGGGTTTAGGGTTTAGGGGTAGGGTTAGGGTCTGGGCATCCTGCTTACTTCTGAGGTACACAAATAGGTTTGCTACTTGTGGCTGCCCATGCCCCAATCCAGCAGAAAAAGTTTGCGCAGCAGATTTGCACGAGGAGCAACAAGCATGCATCAAGATGAGGCCTGCAAAGAGATGGAGAGAACGGAACTGGGAAGGGTGGCATTCTTTGACGTCCGCTTCTAGGGTTTACTCGGCGCTATCTCGGAGTCTGCTTCTAGGGTTTAGGGTTTAGGGTTTAGGGTTTAGGGTTTAGGGTTTAGAGTCCATACCGAATGGATTGCACAGCTTTGTGGAATGGGGCGAAAGCACGGCTGAAGATGTCTTCCGGTCGCATGCCAGGTATTGATGCCATCACGGCGTGAGGCATCTTGCGTTATCTGCAGCAACTCCGCTATACTCCAGGTCATCCGCTGTAGCAGAAGCGAGACCGCCGGGTCAACGCTTCGGACAGGTTGGTTGCCTTTTGCTTTCAAGGGTTAACCATTCAAGTTAAACCGCCGACCTTTTTGTGGCCGGAATTTAGGGTTTAGGATTTAGGGTTTAGGGTTTAGGGTTTAGGGGTTAGGGTTTAGGGTTTAGGGTTTGAATGTTGCAATGCGAAATGTTGCGGAAAGCAGGGCTGAGGGCTTGCCGGTGTGATGAAAATCCAAGGCCCTGCTCCCAACATCTGACACCCTAAACCCTAAAGCCGAAACCCTCTCCAAATAACCTTCCCAACAAGGTTTTGGGGGGAAACGAAGGTGACCTCCAAAATAGCGCTTACTACTTGAAACCCTAGAACCTGAAACCCTAAGGGACACCCTAAGCCCTCATTCAACCCCTGAACCCCTAGAGCCTTAAACCATAACAAATCCCCTCATCAATCCCTAGACCGCTAGAACCTTCAACCCTAATGATTGAAGTTTGGGGTCTAGGGTTCCTAAACCCTAAGCCCGAAACCCTAAACGCCAAACCCTAAACCCTAAACCCTAGATGGGGGGGGTGGGGTTGTTCGGGCTCTAAGCCCGCGGCGTAGATGGTTTCGGGCTCGTCCATCTCGCCATCACCGATGAAGCACCTAGGTGAATAGGCTCCCCAAGCCAACTCGGGATTTAGGGTTTAGGGTCTTAGGGTCCAAGGGTCTTAGGGTCTTAGGGTCTTAGGGTCTTAGGGTCTTAGGGTCTTAGGGTCTTTGGGTCTTAGGGTCTTTGGGTCTTTGGGTCTTAGGGTCTTAGGGTCTTAGGGTCTAGACCCCAAACCCTAAACCCTAAACCCTAAACCGCGGTAGGACAGAACTTCGAGTCTCCTACCACACCCGGCTGGCCGATGTGTCGCACAGGCCCCGGAGGTGGAGGTAGCGGAAGTAGCGCGCCTGTTGGGGTTTAGTTAGGGTTTAGGGTTTAGGGTTCAGGGTTTAGGGTTTAGGGTTCAGGGTTCAGGGTTTAGGGTTTAGGAGGGCTTGCTGGCTCGAGTCTAGATGTAGGCCCTTGGGTTTACCCTAAACCCTAAACCCTAAACCCTAAACCCTAAACCCTAAACCCTAAACCCTAAACCCTAAACCCTGGGTTTAGGGCTGAGGGTTTCAGGGGTGGAAAGGATTCCCCGCCTGGCACACGGACTGGAGGGGCCCGAGACCCATGGAGACCGTGGGATTCTCCCAAAAGTCAGGCCTGGGTTTGGGGTTTGGGGTTTGGGGTTTGGGGTTTCGGGTTTCTGGTTTCGGGTTTCGGGTTTAGGGTTTAGGGTTTAGGGTTTAGGGTTTGGGGTTTGGGGTTTGGGGTTTAGGGTTTAGGTTCAGGTTTGGGGTTTAGGGTTTAGGAGGGCTTGCTGGCTCGAGTCTAGATGTAGGCCCTTGGGTTTACCCTAAACCCAAAACCCAAAACCCAAAACCCAAAACCCTAAACCCTAAACCCTAACCCTAAACCCCTAAACAGTTCAGAGTATGCAGGCTTCCAGCACAGGGACGGGTTTTGGGGTTTAGGGTTTGGAGTTTTTGGTTTAGGGTTTAGGGTTTAGGGTTTGCGGTTTGGGGCGTAGGGTTTGGGGTTTCGGGTTTCGGGTTTAGGGTTTGGGGTTTGGGGTTTAGGGTTTAGGGCTAGGATTTAAGGCTCAGGGATTAGGAGGTTTACAGTCTTGGGTTCTAGGGCTTCTCCTAACAGTCAGCCCTCTGGCGCCACAGTCAAGGTTTGTTTAGAAAGTTGGGGTTTAGGGGTGTTTTGGGTACTATACTGAACTTGGAACCGTAGCAAAGATGATGTTTTTGGCTGTTTCTTAGGAATGGCCCCAAAACATATAAGAATCTTCTCAAGCATCTCTAAGGGTATAGGGCCGAGGATTTCTGCAAATTAGGGTTTGGGTTTCGGGCTTCGGGTGTTTTGAGTATCGGGTTGAGGGTCTACTGGGGTGGTTTTGGTGGGGAGCCGTGTGGAAATTTTAAATTCTGCGGGCTTTAGGGTTTTATGGGGATCAGGGCCCATGGAAGTATACCAAATTTCCAATCAACCCTACTTCAGCGTTGCCGAAAATAGGGTACAGGGATAAATTAGAGTCAAGTGCCTTTGTTTTTTGAGCTGGGGGTCTTTTGTTCAGGTTGGCTCTACTATCTCTAGAGTTTAGGGTCTCTTGTTGCTGGTCCTTTCCGAGGTTGATTCTGGCTTCTCTTTCAGGCGGTACGGTAGAAACTTCGGTATAAACCGTAAGCCCTGCAACCGACATGTTGGGAAAAGGGCTGAACCCTAAGCCCTAAGCCCTAAGCCGTAAGCCCTAAGCCCTAAGCCCTAAACCCTAAACCCTAAACCCTAAACCCTGGGAAGCCCACCAACCGCTGGGGCCCGCGCATGAGCCTGGGGTGGGGGTAGCTGGACAGCCCGGTGCCTCCCACCTGGGTGTGGGAGAGGCTACAAGGCTTAAAGAGGGTTTAGGGTTTAGGGTTTAGGGTTGAGGGCTTAGGGTTGAGCAGGGAACCTAGATCCTACAAAAAGGGAACCAGGGCCTACTCCGTGTCCTAGTAGGGGTTACAGTTCCGATTACAAGACAAGCGCCTCCATGGATCTGTAGGGGTTGTTCAGTGGCCATTCGGGGTTACAAAGACTCATGCGCTCTTGTTTATTGTTGATGAGGGTTTGGGGATTTATTCTTTTTTCGGGGTCTAGGGTGCTTCGGGGTATTAGCGATCTCAGGCCACTTTAAGGTTGTAGGCTGTCTAGGGGGATGTGGAGCGTTGAATTTGAGGATTTTAGGTTTGGGGCAAATCCAAGCGACAACAGATGACAAACAAACCCTGAACCCTGAACCCTGAAGCCTCAACCCCCAACCCTCACCCTCAACCGCCCAAACCCAAACCCAAGCCAGTCTGGGCCGGGGTAGGGCCTAGTACAGCTTGGGGGTTAGCGCTTAGGGCTTCGGGCTCAGGATTCTCAATAGGGCGTTCAGAACTAGTTCCCCTAGACCCCTTTGTTCAAGGGATCTCGTTTCCAAGTCCTTCTTCAGAACCCCGTACGGATTTCCCGGAAAGCACTTCTCTAGGCCCTGCAGCCCTGAACCCTGAAGCCCAAACCCTAAGGATGAGGGTTTAGGGTCTAGGGTCCATAAACTACCCATAAACCTTCAGCCCCAAACCCCAAACCTCCTGAACCCGCGGGCCTCCTGTCGGAAGTGCATGACGTGCTGCAGGTCCAATCGGCCCTCCAGGTACGCCCGGGCGTAGGCCCCGGGGGCTGCATGGCCCTGTCAGATTGGAGTTGATGTTCCTAGGGCCCGAGGTATAGGGCTAGGGTTTAGGGTTTAGGGTTTCGTACTATCTGAGGGTGTTTTTTGTATGGGCCCTTAAGCCCTTGAAAGCGGACCCCTTACCCCTTGTACACCCTATGCAAGGGCCCCTACTTCCGAACCCCTTCAGGGAGGTAAGGGACCATACTCAGGGCCCACATAACTACGCTTAGATAGGGTCACGGGTTAAGGGGTTTCGTGTTTACGGGACTTCGGTTTGGGGTGTGGGGTGTAAGCCTAGAATTTACTCCTCCCTCGACCCCCCCCCCCCCCAAAAAAAAAAAAAAAACATCTTGAGGTTGATTCCCTGCTTTTGAGGGCCCCCACATCCAAAACCCGAGCCCAGGAAAGTGTGGAACGTACAGTGCCGTCGGGTTTCGGGTTTAGGGTTTCGGGTTTAGGGTTTAGGGTTTAGGGTTTAGGGTTTAGGGTTTAGGGTCAAGGGCCTGAAAAACTCACACCGAAACTTGACGCTGAAGCCTTACGCCCTTGCGTAGATCTTGAGCTCCCAGCTGCCAATGCTAAAAGCTCCTGAAAAACACCCGGAAGCCCCAGAACCCTGAGCCAACAAGAAGCCCTAAACCCTCAACCCTCAACCCTAAGCCCTAAACCCTCAACCCACAACCCTCAACCCAAAACCCGCAACCCTAAACCCCCAACCCTAAACCCTACAGCCTAAAACCCTCAACCCTCAACCCTGAAACCCGAAGCCTAAACTTCCATCCGAACCGAAGCCTGAATCCCTCGGTTGCTTCAAGGGGCCCCTTCACCCGCCCTCAACCCCTAAACCCTAAACCCTAAACCCTAAACCCTCAACCTTAAACCCTAAACCCTCAAGCCTAAACCCTCAACCCTCAACCCAAGGGTTTCTTAGGGGAGCGACATGGCCCCTTGATTTGGGCCCTTTGTTGGTAAACCCATCTATACCACGAATATACTCTGTAATGCCCAAGGACCCAGACTTCAGAAAAACGGCAGGGGGGCCATATGGGACCATGTAACTTCCCTAGAGGGTTTGGAGTTCAGGGTTCAGGGTTTAAGTTTGAAGGCGGGCGTCGGCTTCTCCCAACAGGGGGGGGGGGGGGGGTTGGGGAGGTGAGGAATGTGATCGCGAAATCTATGTGCAAGGGCCTATAGGGTTTAGGATTTAGGGCTTAGGCTATAGGGTTTACGTTTAAGTAGGGTTTAGGGTTTAGGGGGTTTAGGGCTTAGGGCGTAGAGCTGAAGGTCCTTAGGGCCTTAGGGCTCGGGCTTTTTGGGGGGCAGGGCGCCTGGAAGTAGAGCTGATCGCCCATGCCGCCACCTGAGTTTGAGGATCTCCCAAGCCACAGCATTGCCCCAAACCCTGAAACCCTAAACCCTAAACCCTTGAACCCCTCCATTGACACCCTCGAAGCCAACTAAACACATGTCCCCGTCCTGAACATCTCGCAAGTAAACCGTTAGCCCGAAATCCCCCTCAACCGCAAGCCCTCCCCACTCCAGACCCCCTACGCCCTAAAAATCCTAAACCTCAAAACCTGAAACCGCATCAAACCCAAAACCCTAAATCCTAGTCCCAAACCCTAACCCCTAAACCTTCTGACTTCAACCCTACACCCTCAACCCTAAACCCCAAACCCTACCCTAAACCCAACTCAACCCCCCCCCCCCCCCCCCCCCCCCATGAGGCCGGCACCGTAGCCCTTACCCCGGAAGAAGTGGTGCTGACCCACCTCCAAGACCCCGGAGGACCCCCGTAAACTTCGGGGGGTTTGGGGTTTAGGGTTTGGGGTTTGGGGGGTTCAAAGTTCATAGAACGGGGCGTTAACGACCAGATGAAAATAAAAGCGTGCATTCATGTACCTCTTGCATGGCTTCTTACGGATGGTGCTTACTCTATCTTGTGTTGTCACAAGAAGCATGGGGCCTGAAAAAAAACACAAAGACGCATCACACATTCTCGTCGTTCCCTGAAAACTCATGTCATGTACAGTTGACAGCTGGGGATTTGGCATTTAGGGTTTCGTAGGGTTTCGGGTTTTAGGGTTGAACAGCCCGAATCCTCAGCCCAAAATGCTCTGGGTGCTGAGGGTTTCCCCTCCCCGCAAATCCCAAACCCCAAACCCGGGCACGACGAGCGCTTTCTTCCTGCACTCAGCAGACAGCGAGCCACCCACTGCGGCAATCCTTACGTGAGGTTCCGGAGAGGTTTCAGGAAATCGGGTTTGGGGTTTGGGGTTTGGGGTTTGGGGTTTGGGGTTTGGGGTTTGGGGTTTGGGGTTTGGGGTTTGGGGTTTGGGGTTTGGGGTTTGGGGTTTGGGGTTTGGGGGGGTAGTAAGGTTTAAGGCTGACAATGCCCTAAACCCTGAACCCTCAAGCCCCCAACTTAGAGTGTCGTGCTCAGCGGCTCAGGCTCAGGGGCTCAGGGGCTTAGATCACGCGGCTCAGGGGATTAGGGGCTTTGGGGCTTAGGAGTGTAGGGCTTAGGGAGTTTAGGGCTTAGGGGCTTAGGGGCTTAGGGGCTCAGGGGCTTAGAGGCTTAGGGCCTCACCCTAAACCCTAAACCCTAAATCCTAAACCCTAAACCCTAAACCCTAAACCCTAAACCCTAAGCCCTAAAGAGGCTTAGGGGCGTAGGGGCTTGCGGGCTTTGGGTTTTGGGGACCCCCCCAAAACCCCCAAAACAGAAATCTGCTGGCTGCATCCAGGGCTCCACCACCTCTGTACCCGGGGAGCAGTTCCTTGGCTGCTCAGGGCTTGTGGGGTCCCAAGGGTTTAGGGTTTAGGGTTTAGGGTTTAGGGTTTAGGGTTTAGGGTTTAGGGTTTAGGGTTTAGGGTTTAGGGTTTAGGGTTTAGGGTTTAGGGTTTAGGGTTTGGGTTTAGGGTTTAGGGTTTAGGGTTTAGGGTTTAGGGCTTTGGGCTTGTAGGGTGCACGGATTTCTGGGGTTTCTCTAGGGTTTATGTGGGTTTGTTTATAGGGTTTACGGAAAGCGTTTATATAGGGCTTGGTACCCAGTATCCATATAACAATAAGGGTGCCTTGTTGTGTTAGTTGCTTTTGTAAGGGAACCCACACCCCCAAAAAGCAAAGGGGCACCACTCAGGTAAACCCGAAACCCTATAAACCCTAAAAACCCTACAAACCCTACAGACCCTATAAACCCTGTAAACCCTACAGACCCTACAAACCCTGCAAGCCCTAAACCCTAACCCCCTATCATATGTGTAGGATTCTCTAACCCTAAACCCTAAACCCTAAACCCTAAACCCTAAACCCTAAACCCTAAACCCTAAACCCTAAACCCTAAACCCTAAACCCTAAACCTACGCGTATAGGATTCTTAATTTCAAGCACGGCGCCCGGGAGTCATCGCCGCAGCCTCCCAGGCGGAGCAGTTCGCCACAGCTGCCGGCTCGGGCCTGCCGGGGCTTGCTTAGGAATAGGGGGAATGTGGGGTTTAGGGTTTAGGAAAGAGGGAATTTAGGGTTTAGGGTTTAGGGTTTGGGGTTTAGGGTTTAGGGTTTAGGGTTTAGGGTTTAGGGTTTAGGGTTTAGGGTTTAGGGTTTAGGGTTTAGGGTTTAGGGCTTGGGGTTTAGGGTTTAGGGTTTAGGGTTCAGGGTTCAGGGTTCAGGGTTCAGGGTTCAGGGTTTAGGAGGTAAGGGGTAAGGTTTAGGAATTAGGGCTTGGGGTGTTCAGAGATTAGGGCTTAGGGCCTATATGAGGCCTTTGCCTCCTGAATGCCTCCAACCCCAGCACAGATACCCAAGCAGCTCAGGGTGTTGGATGCCGTTTATGGCCTTCGGCATGCACGTTGTGGGTGAAGGTTTAGGGTTTAGGGTCTGAGGTTCAGGGCAACAAGTTCTAGAGCTTTTGGGGGGGGGGGGGGGCTTAGAGCTTAACATGTAGGGATTAGTCAGGTGAGACTTCGCCTCAGCAGCACCTAAGACCTTAAACCCCAAACCCTAAAAAACCCAAAAACCCCAAAAACCCTAAAAACCCTACTAAAACCCCTAAAACCCCTAAAACCCCAAAACCCCAAAAACCCAAAAACTCCAAACTCTGAGACCTAAACGCCCAAACCCTCAACGACCCCTCACATCTCACAAAAGCCCTCAACCCCTGACCCTAAACCCTAAACCCTAAACCCAACACCCCAAACCCTAAATCCCAAACCTTTAGGGTTTGCTAAACCCCTCAACCCGAGACCCCACCTCCATTCCGGATCCAGGTTCCAGAGCTTCTTCAGCATCACATCCTTTGGGGGTCTTCAGGGAATTGAATTAGGGTTTGGCGGTTTAGGGTTTAGGGTTTAGGAAGGGCTACATGAGGAGCGAAAAGAAATTGCCTTTGCCAGTCAGTAGACAGGCGTCCATGAAGGAATCACCACGTTCGTCGAAGTTGTTCTTCAGCCTGAGCTGGGACCATGCGCAGTTAAGGGTTGTAGGGCCCTTAGTGCTCTTAGGGCTCTTAGGGCCCTCAGAGTTTTTAGGGCCTTAGGGCTTTGGGTTGAAGTTTTCCGGGTCGAGGCGTTTAGCCCATGTGGAGTGCAGGGTTTAGGGTTTTTAGGGCTTCGGGCTTAGGGCTTGCGGTTTCACTGAACCTTCTCCTCTTTGTCACACCCTCACAGCCAGGCCACGGGCCCGCGAAGTGCCAGATCAGTGGCGCATCCGTGAGGTTGCGGCCGCCCAGGACGAAGTTGATGTCCACCTCTGGCAGCAAAAAAGGTGTCTCGGCTTGGAGGTTTAGGGGTTTAGGACTTCGGGTTTAGGGTTTAGGGTTTTGGGTTTAGGATTTAGGGTTTAGGGTTTCGGGTTCCGGGTTCCGGGTTCAGGGTTTAGGGTTTAGGGTTTAGGGTTTGAGGTTCAGGGTACTTATACCCCCCAATTAGAGCTGCACTCTTATAAGCCCAATTATAACTGTACCCTAGCCCCAATTGTAGCTGTTAAGGGGAAAAAGGACGGACCCCTAGAAGGGAGCCTCAGTCTTATTCGCTCTATAACCGCTACCTAGGTATAGCCCCCATATATATATATATACCTAACAACCCCCCACATACAGGGCTTGCTATCCGACACGCCTAAACATCATTTTCATACGTGGATCCATAGATGATAGACCGGGAAGGTAAACACACGAGGACGAGGTAAATTGCATTGTCGTCACGCGACACGAGGACGAGAAGTAATGTCGGCATTCGTATCTCTCGCTCTCTCTCTCTCTCTCTCTGTCTCTCTCTCTCTCTCTCTCTCTCTCTCTCTCTTTCTCTCTCTCTCTCACTTATCTCGTACTCATCTCTCTCGCTCTCCCTCTCTCGCTCGCTCGCCGCTCGCCGCTCGCTCTCTCTCTCTCTCTCTCTCTCTCTCTCTCTCTCTCTCTCTCTCTCTCTCTCTCTCTCTCTCTCTCTCTCTCCTCTCTCTCTCTTGTCCCCTGCACCGCTGTTGCCAGCACCGGTTCCACCTGCAGCGGAATCAGATGTATGAAGGGATTCCAGGTTTTACGAGCTTACAATGTTTACCTGCTTGGGGTGATCAAAATCCTCTGCAAAATAACCCGACCAGGGGGGGGGGGGGGGGGGGGCCCTTGAGGTGCATGTTCTAGGGTTCAGGGGTTTGGGGTTTTAGGGTCTGTGCCCGGCAGTACATGTTCACCACACTTGAAAGCCTGTCAAGCTGGATATAATATAAAGTTTAGGGTTTAGGGTAGCAAAAACATGTGCAAAATACCGGGCGGGCACTGCTGGCAGCTCAGAGTTTTTATTATATGAGTTCTTAAGGGAAGGGGGCTCCAATCCAGGGGGTACCTAAGGAACCTTCGCAAGGGAGATTAGGGAGTCTTAGGAGCAGTGGGGAATACTTACTAAGGAACCTTGGTTTACATATCCCCCTGAACCCCCCCTCCCTAAGCATAATGTTTCGGATTTCGGATTTCGAGTGTCTGTTCTCGGTGTGATAAAGCTGAAAAGGAGGCAGCGAGAGCCACCTATGTCGGGTTGGCATATGCCTGTCAAGGCAAAGATGAGGGGCCTAAAGCACGACATGATGACGCAGGCGCTTCTCAGCTACAGTGACCAAGAACACTCCATGACTCGCTTGCTCCGGAAAAAAAGTTGGGGGGGACGGCGTGCGATCAGATACAACGAACCAGCGAAGCATGCACTCTCTGACCTGACGTCTGACTCCAGTCTTGAATCGAACGAGGCCCCTGCCAGCATCCATCGAGGCCACAGCCTTACGAAGCCAGAGGTGCGAGAATAGGAAGCAACGAGAACATGATAACTTCGGGGCATGCAACTGTGAGGCAGGATCCAGAAGGCACGAGCCCTTTTTTTGCAACGTCACGAAGGCCTCGCCAGGGGATCCGTTTATAGAAAGCCTGTTCTATTCCTATAAAGACAACATAGTTGTGTAGTTGATTTGGGCCCTATGCGAGCGGCCTACGTCTGAAGGCCCTGGGTTTCGTATCCATTTATGGATCCCCTAGCTAACAATTTCTCCCCCAAAGTTCAGTCAAACTCCCAAGCGGGGTCTTCCCGGGAGGCAGAATGACAAGGCACTGGCAGTTGCAAGTAGATGTACCGCCAATGGGGCTGCCATGTACAAACTCCCGTATGTATTCATTGGCTAAATCACTGATAAACCCTAAGCCATACACCCCCGAATCCTAAATCAGAATGTTTCACCGATCGTCTAGATCGAGCAATCGTCAAGTCATACGTCGCATTTCAGTCTACAGATCAGTCAATGACAGTCCAGGCCGTCAAGTCTGGTCTAAGGTTTAACGGTTAAGGTCTAGGCTGGGTTTGGGGTCATCGGGCTGGCATGGACTGAATCACTCGGCTAACATTGACAATGACAATGTCGTGAAGGTCGGTGCATGCCTGGGAAGACGAGGAGCGGTAAGAAAAAGGACTTCAACGCTGCCTAGGCTAGTGTTTTTCTCAAGGTTATGTGTTGCGTTCTTGTTTGGAACATGCGTTTTCCTATTTTAGACGTACTTGGGCTACATTAGATAGCTAGACATGGGCAAGTGGCCGCCCAGCGCCAGGAATGAGCCAGCAGGCCAGCAGCGCCACGATCCAGGGCCAGTGCAAAGGAAGGAGCGTGCCCTGTTGGACGGGGAATAGCACAAAAGCAACATCAGAATACTTGAGCCCTACCTAAAACTTGAACCCTACCCAAGTCCTAAGCTCAACAGTGCACTCAACAACGGCTTAAACCACGACAAGGACAAGTGGCCACCAATCATCAGGAGCCGCTGACATCGCCGTCCGGCCCAACGCGATTGTAGTTGCCGGAGCGGACGACGGCAGAGATCTCAGAGCCCATACGATCAGCAGTGGCCCCCAATCGGACCGACTGGAGCTCGCGATTCTCCTTCTGCCTGGCTGCCTTGAGAGAGGTGATCTCGGCTTCCAAAACTTTGTTCATGACGGAGACCTGGTTCTGTGTCATGAGCTTCTGCTTCTGCATCGCCGCATCGTGCTCTCTCGACAGCACTAATAATGCCTCCGAGCGCCGGGCGTCCAGGCGGTTGAGCTCCTTCTGCTTGGCATCGCGATCCTTCCGCGCACGGACAAGGTCAGAATTCCTCTCCGCCAGCTGAGCCTTCAGGGTATTGAGCTCCTTCTCCTTTGCTTCCAGCTGGGACTCTACCTCGAGGTATCCATCCTTCAGAAGCCTGTCCCAGTCGTGAAATTCTGCACACTCCCAGTCATAGGCTTCTTCGAGCATCGTCACTAAATTTCTTCGTTGCTGCATTCGTCTTCGTTTGGCCATGTCGTTGTTGAAAGGCTTCTGCGCGTGCTTCTTCTTGGTTTTTGAAAGAGGCTCCGCATCCTTGTCCTCACAAGAACAAAGGGGCATGTTTAGGAACAAGCTTCAAGTTTAAGTTGTCCGAAACCGACCAAGAAAAGACCAAGAAAAATGCACAAACTAAGGCCCAGCAAGCCAGTATTATCTCTGAGACTGAGAGACAGCTGTTATTGCAAGTCTACGTCCGCTGACCCCGAAAGCCCTGCAACCCGGAAGCCCTGAAACCCTGAAGCCCTGACAGATCAGGTGGTTCAGTGACGGCTGGGTTCAGGGGCGGGGCACATTAAGTTTCGTTACCTTTCCCGCCGCTGACCTCCTCCTTCTCGCCACTGACAGTGACCGGGACCCGTCCGCTGGGCGGCGGTCCGGGCGGCGGTCCGGGTGGCGGCAGTGGCGGCAGCGCTTCCTCCTGCATGACAAAGCGGGCCCCTGAATAAAAAATGCAGGCCAGAGTGGGTTAGGGGTCCGGGCCCTGGCGGCATTCAACCCGAAGCCCTGAATGCGGGTGTGGGTTAAGGGAGTGGGTCATGGTCACCATGTCCTGGCCCCAGGAGCTCTCGCCCCAGCCACTGTCATTTTGCCTGTCTTTCCAGGACTCCCACCGACTCCATGTCGACATGGCAGAATGTGCGACTTAGGCAGCGCCCTGCTGAGATGGTCCACAGCCTCAAAGGTTTCAGGTACGGTGGACCAATAAGGGCAAAACGGAAGGGTGCACCAGCTTGCGTGAGTACCAGATTGATATCACGAAGGTGTGCGTGTGTGTGTGTGTGGGTGTGTGCTTCTGTGCTGTGAGTGACAGACTGTTGTCTTCCTAGCTGCAGCAACGCACCTGTCACTCATGACATCATGCTGGGTAGCCAAAAGTGACTGGACTAGAAACATAAATTCAATGACATTGAATTGACGACGGGTGCGCGCTGAGCTTGAGTCAACACTGGTCATTGCAGACAAACAGACAGCTCACGTCAAAGTGATCATCAGTCATCATGTCAACCGAGCTGAAAGCGCTCATCAAAGACGATCAGAGCACACTGGGAATAAATGTTCTTGACAACGACAATGGTGCGACACTGCCTCAGGCCCGGTGAGCGAAAGGTTCACGCAACCCCTTGGCTCAACAGATCATCCCTACCATCAAGCAGGGTCCGGGATTGAGGATCAAGCCAACGATTATTATGGGGTCAGGGTTCAGGTGCTCCAGGGATTTCAGGGCTTAAAAATAAGTTTCTGAAAGCCATCCGGCGTGAATCCTATGCCCTAAGCCCTAGAATCTGCCCTAAACCCGACATGTTACGTTGACAGCACCCCTGGCTATTCAAACCTTGACAACAAAAATCCTGAACCCACTATGCAAAACCCTCAATCCACAAGAACTCCAGCGCTTAAGCCCAACACCAAAGAATGTGTAAAGTATTCGCGCTTAAAAAGGGTACCCTTTTGACATTCGGTGTTGCGTCTATCAGATTCTCATAAAGGAACTCAGGATCCAAAAAGAGCAACCGGGCCACTAGGACAGTAAG